TAGCCTTCCGAATGGGTGTGAAGTGGTACCTTACTGTAGTTGATTTTCATTTCCCTAATGATTAGTGATGCTGAGCATCTTTTCATGTACTTATTGGACATGTGTATATCTAGTTTGGAGAAATCTCTATTTAAATTCTTTGCCAATTTTTCATTGGTCTGATTTTGTTATTCCTGTTGATTTGTAAGAATTCTTTATGTATTCTGGGTAATAGAACTTATCAGATATTTGTTTTTTATTCTACAATGTAATTAAATTTCTTTGTCCTAATGTTCTTTGTGGTGTGTGTGAGTATTTTTCTTGGGGTTTTCTATGTAAAAGATAGTATTGTGGACTAAGAGGGATCATTTAATTTTCTTTATTTTCTGTTTCAATCCATTTTTTCTTTTTATTGCTTAGTTGCTCCAGCTAGTATTTCTAGTGTCATGATAAGTAGAAGTGGAAAAACTTAATTAGACTTACTCCAGATCTCATATGAAAAGCTTCCTGTTTCTCTCAGTTGAGTTTGTTGTTAGCTGCAGGCATTTCATATAAACCCTTTTTCATGTTGAGGTAGTTTCCTTCCATTGCAGATTTAGTGAGCAATTCATCATAAAAATATGTTGGGTTTTGTTCAATGTTTTTTGTGCATCAATTGAGAAAATCATGTCAGTTGGTTTCCCCATTCTCTTCTCATAACAAACTACACGGTTCATATGATACGATGACACTTCTTTGCATTCCAGGAAACAATTTTACTAGAATAGGAAAATGTTGTGTGTTTAGCTGTAACTCATGCATACTCCTGACTCTTTCAGGACCTCAGAAGTGCAGTGCTGAAAATCTGTAGATTTCTTGAGAAAGAACTTAGTGAAGAAGTTGTGGATACTGTTGTGAAAGAGGCTACCTTTCAGAACATGAAGACTAATCCACAAGCAAATTATCATGATATTCTAAAATATGAAATTGGAGTGAGAAATGATGAAGGACATTTTCTGCGCAAAGGTAATATTCAGTAGTTTATAGTAGCAAGATGTAAGCTGTCATTCAAGTCCTTGGTACCTAGGAGAAATAATAAGTGCTTCCAATATGTTTCTCCAAGTAACAGTGACATTTGGAACCTAGAGAAATTAAGTGTCTAACTGAGAGTAAGTCTGAAGAGGTTTTCAAAAAAACTAAGCGTTTTAGTATACAAACTGACACATTAACTTGTTTAATTAATATTGCCTTATTTCTAAGTCACATGAGCCTGGTCAGGTATATTAAATGAGAAGAACAATAATCTTTATTTTCCCTTTTTCTTCTAGAATAATCTAAGAAGTAAACTTAATGTGTGTTTTTCTGTGCTGGGAGGAGGTTTGGATTACTATGTTCCCATGTGTCATCACAAAGAGTGATATCTTAATAGTGCTACCTGCTATGAATTCAGTTACTTCAAAATTCATTGAAATCATTTTTACTGTGATCCTATTACATGCTTGAAGTAGTTGTGAAGAATGAATATTATTTCCCTTGTAACTGATACCCTTTAAATTCAAAATATTATTATTAGTAGTAGTGGTAGCAGTAGTAGTAGTAGTAGTAGTACCAGGAATTGAACTCAAGGGCACTCAAGCACTAAGCCACATCCCCGGATGCTATTTTGTATTTTATTTAGACAGCGTCTCACACTGAGATGCTTATACCTTTACCCTTACTGAGGCTGGCTTTGAACTCAACATCCTCCTGCCTTAACCTCCTGAGCTGCTGGGAATACAGGCATACACCACCACACTTGGCTTCAAATTGTTAATTTTTAATTTAATCATTTAGTGTATAAACATTCTAAACTCTTCACTTCTACTTTATTCACATTTATGTCATAATTGGCTCCTAATTTACCAATAGAATGATGGATATTAATTTATGAACAATTATATAAACATCTTATGGACATTGCCCTAGATATTGATGTATTTTAAAATTCTTATTTTTTTGGTGACATTTATTATCAATTCTCCTGTTTCATTCTTCAGCTACAACAGATAAAAAGCAATTCTCATATCCCTAAGAGCTTTTTATCTTTTCCAAAGGCCAATAATAATGTCTACACAAGTGAACCTGATATCTGGAAATGCCAAGTTAGTTTTCACTTAAGAAGAATGGCATAATATAATCCCTGTGGCTCAGAAGGCAGAGGCAGGAGGAATGCAAGTTCAAAGCCAGCCTCAGCAAAAATAAGGTGCTAAGCAATTCAGTGAGACCCTGGCTCTAAATAAAGTACAAAATAGGGGTGGGGAGTGGCTCAGTGGTCGAGTACACCTAAGTTCAATCTCCAGTACTCACCCCCACACACAAAAAAATGGCATAATTATGGTTTACCATTGCATTAAAAAAGTGCAGAAAGAGAAGCTCTGGTGCTGTATATGACTTTGAATTATTTACTTGAAACTATTTGAGTCTCGGATTTTTTTTTTCAAATTTAAAAAGAAAGAAACACTTGAAGGGTTTTAGTAAGAATTATATTACAGTTGATAAATGTGGTTCACTTGGTGTGAGGTTCACTTGGTATATATACATACTTCTAAAATTCTAATATATTCATATCCTTATAGTTTTTCCCTTCTAAGGATCACATAGGGGGAAAGGCTAACATACTGGGAAGTCAATTTTAAATCTATTTACTGCATTATTGCATTCCTAGATTCTTTATTCAATCATTCCTGTGTAAGAAAAGATGAGGTCTCCAATCCTGTGGACATGAACAAATATTTAGCTTGGTTGAAAAGAGATTTACCCATTAATTTCCAATTTTTTAATTCTGTGAACACAATAATATTCACATATTATTACAAAGTTGCCACAAGAGGTATATTGGTTGCTCCATTTAAATTTGACAGGTGTTCCACATCTGGGACAATGGGACACATGGGTTCAAATGGTTGAGGCAGTCTTTAATATGAAGTGTTCTTTATCACCAAAGTGCCATTCATGTTCTTATCCCATTAGGTATCATTGGAGATTGGAAACATCATTTTACTGTGGAGCAGAATGAAAGATTTGACCAGATATTCCAAAGGGAAATGAAAGACATTTCCCTGAAGTTCATCTGGGATATAAATGAGGAGTAGAATTGTAATCAAACCATAAAAGAATTATATAAACTCTAATCAGAGGCTATACCTTAACCTACATAATAATTTATGCCTATTTAATTACTAATTATAAAACTTAACTAACAAAATAAATAAACTATGCTTAGATTAGTTGCCATGAATTCTTTAAAATTTTAAAAAATTAGTTTTACTTCAATAATTAAAATTACAAATCAGAAATTAAATTGCTTTTGCAGCTTTGGTACCCTGCTAGAAAATGGCAAAACAGAAAGCATAAAACATGACTTGCAAATATCTTTAGAGACAATTCTGTATTGTGTATTTTCCATTACCCACAATTAAACTCAGGATCAATTAAACCTTAAAAATCATTTTATTATTGTACTTAAATTTTAATTCTTTGGTTTCAAAATCAATGTAGATATTCAAATGTGATATAGAATAAATGGAGAAATCCTACATAAACAGGTAGTTCTTTTTAATAATTTAACAGATCACAGTTTGTACTAGATGAAAAAGTAGTTTTTTCAGGCTGGTATGATGGCATGCACTTGTAATCTCACGACCTAGGAAGCTGAGGCAAGAGGATAGCAAGTTCTAGCCAGCCTCAGCTACATACAGAGACCCTGTCTCAAAAGTTTTAGAAAAGGAAAGGAGACTTGGGGATATAGTTCATTAGTAGAACTCCCCTGTGGCTATTCCCCAGTACTGTAACACCACTGCCACTACAACAAAAGTTCTATCCATAACATATCACTCAGTACAATTACATCAGAGAAATTTAACAGTTGAATATTTAATAAAAGTTTAGTAGATTTATAAGGCTTTAAGGGTAGCACCATACAAAGTCATCAAATGGAAACAACCTGTGTTACTTGGCTTTCTGTTATTATGACAAAATAACTGAGATAATAAATGTATAAGAAAGGAAAAGTCCATTTTGGATCATTGTTTCAGAGGTTTCAGACACAGTCACTTTACTCAGTGGATTATGGGCTGTAGTGAAACATTATTTCATGATGGGCAGTGTGTAGTGGAGTAAAGCTGCTCCCTTCAAGGCACCTGGGAAGGAAAAAGAGAGAAAGAAGAAAAGTCCAGGATCCTGATATTCCCCAATGGAATGGCCCTGATGACTTAACTTCCTCAATCTAGACCCAACAGGTTACTCTGCTTCACAAGAGAACTAAGGAGTAGGAATGGAGCTTTCAACAGAGGAGTCTTTTGGAGGACACTTACCCTAACCATAGCACAAACCAATATCCATGTACATCCAAATAAATAAGTAAATTGTGGCATTTCCCATAATTCAACAAATTATCTATAAAGAAGCATGAATTACAACTCTCTGAAAAACATACACAAGTCTAGAAATATAATATTCAGTGGGAAAAAACAGACACTTATTGCATGTTTTCTTATATGATTCAAAATAAGGTGCAATTAATGATGGTTTTAGAAGGTGTTCGCCTTCAAGGAATAATGTAGTAACTTAACAGGTAAATGAGAGCACTTCTGGGTTGTTAGGATCATTTTTCCCCTTAATCTCAGTACTGTTCATTTTGGGAATATTTGTGTGACAGTGTACATAGTATTTGTGCATTTTTCTGATTTTACCATACAGTTATTTGATTTATAAAATAAATAAGAAAACATTTCCAAGGAGCAGAAAAATATCTTGCAGTAACTAAATGGACAAAACATTAATTCATAGTTATCAAAATTTAAAAACTGGGTAATACTTAATGATGTGCTCAGATGCAAAAAGTCCCAGATGATAAAAGAAAGAGAATAAAGCATTGGGCCTTTAGAAAACCACTGACAATAAGGACAAATTAGATTTTAAATGTTAATTTTAATGTTTTCTCCTCTGCAATGGGCAGAAGTCTCTTAACCTTGAGAATATTGAGAAGGGACAGATAAAAAGTGTGCCCCCTATAGACTGAATTTGATGGATGTCATTACAAGGATTAAAGAATATCTTCCCTGTAACTGTTTGGGGAACGAGGTAGATAATGTTTCTTAAGCCTAACATCTCTATAGAACCTGAAATACACAGGATCCTTAAAAAGATCTAGAAAAGAAATATGAATTTTCATTT